TATATATTTATAATATAAATACACTCCATATGACACGAAGCATGACGGGTTACACAAATATATGGTAAATTTGAAATTGAGAAGATTTTGTGACCTGGTGTGTGCTGTCTGAGCTCCTTTTGAGAAAATGTTTTCATTCTTAGGACTGAAGTCACGTGTCCGAGATATTTATTCCCACTGTAGTTCAACCTTGAACTGCAGAGAAACGATTTTTGTGAGAAGAGGCGCGGAAGTCATGAATGACACAAAGGGAGATGAAGAGAGATATCATGTCTCTGGCTTAGTGGACGACCGAGCATGGACAGGCTGTCTTTGTCTCTCACACACACACACACACACACACACACACACACACACACACACACACACACACACACACACACACACACACACACTGCATTACAGCTTGCTTTTTATGCACAAACTAAAACAGCAGATGAAAAGGTTCCCTTGATGAAACTGGACTTCCTAATCAGACCCCTTGAGCACTTTTTGATAAAAAAACAGCAGCTACTAAACCACCACATTATCTCCATCACACACACACACACACACGCTCAATATCTGTGTCACACACACACGTACACACACTTAACGCACACCAGAGAGGCGAACAAGCAGAGCTCGTTGGCGTTTGATAGGGTTGACCCAGATCTTGTAGCGTGCACAGCGGACGATGAGGAGAAAGTGTGTGTGTGGGGGGGGTTCAGGGGGGATCTTAGGGTCATCCGGGTGTTTTGTGCATGAGTGAGTGAATAAGATGTGGGGGGTGACAGGGGGGTGGAAGGTTGTGGGGGGCCTGGCTGGTGGAAGAGAGAGGATAACCCCCTGTCTGTCTGTCTGACGGCCATGTTGGACGTCCGTGTTGGAGGTCCGTGGTGTGAAGGCACTACTGTTTTTGTAAACTACGGCGGCGCTTCACAATTCTGAGGGTTTATTGGCGGAAATGGATGCAAAATTCCAAGTAGGCCTCTGGATCTCCTCTTTGCGACCTTCTTGCCTCTGGATCTCCTCTTTGCAACCTTCTTGCCTCTGGATCTCCTCTTTGCAACCTTCTTGCCTCTGGATCTCCTCTTTGCGACCTTCTTGCCTCTGGATCTCCTCTTTGCGACCTTCTTGCCTCTGGATCTCGCTCCAGAAGAGATCTGATCTTCTTCTCATGTGGGTGACTTAGAATAACTCTCCCCAGGCACCCGGCTCCTGGCGCAGGGGGCCTCGAACTGCTCGCACAGATAGACAGAGGCTAAACCCATTGACGTCAATGGAGACGGGGGAGCTGTTTTCGCCCTCTCCTCCCCGGCCTCGTTTTTCTTTCGTCTCATCTGGGAGCGTGCGACAGAGGTGGCAGAAGATAGGAGGCGTTCTCCGGCTTAAAATGCTTTTATTGTGAAGGGAAAAGGAGAGATGAGTGGTCTTCTCGTGGGTATCTTACCCATCGCCGAGCAACTCGAACCGAACCCCGTCTCTTTGTCCTCCGTCTCCCCCTGTGCTACGAGGGACGCAGGGACTGGACCGATTCCCTCCTCTCAGATCTATTTTGAATACAGAAAACCACAGCAAAGAAAGACAGCTGGCAGAGGAAGGGAAGGTGAGACCCTGGAAAATTATAGGAAAGGCCTGAGAGTGAGAGAGAGACGGATCGGGGGGTGAATGGAAGAAGAAAGGAATGAGCACAGAGAGTTTTATCTGACTCTCACAGCCTTGGTGATATGACAGGCTCGGGAATCCACAGCGTTTCGCCATCGCACTCCCACTCCCAAACACTCTCTACAAGGGAAAATGTGTCTTTTTCTCTTGCGAGAGAAAAAAACACAGCACCAAAGGGATCATCACCCCCCTCCTGCCACCATCCATAAAGATAATCCTTCCACCCCTCCTGGAAGGGGAGGGGGGGGGGATCGGAGGCAATCGCACGCCGGGCGCTCGCACAAAAAGAAAAAAGGACCCCTGGCGATGATACAAAACACACAAACACAGACACACACACACAGACCAAAACTTAGAGGGGACGCAGACTCTCCCGTGAACACATGACAGCATCTGCCCCTCACAGATACTTACAGCCCCCCCCACCCCCCCATTCCCATCTCAGTGTTGTGTTTGTCAATGTGGAGAATTCACGCATCGCTCATGAGAATCACGAGTCACAAAGAAAAGACAGCAATGAAACATTAGAAAATAGATGGTGAAACATGTGAAATAAATTAATATCAACTGACAAAGAAGTTACACGAACAAAGAGTACATAAGTCATCTAAATGAATCCGATATTTATCCAATAAGTATTATTACTGTTGTTAGTGCAGCAAAGTCGCAGTGACTTAACGGCCACTTGCTGACCTGCAAACACGTTTCTCGTCTGTGAATCCAGTCCAGTCATTTCCAATCCGTCAGGAGGAAAAAGTTCATTCCCTCAGAAAGATCAGAGGCCGGAAAGGAGCGCTTGTGCTTTATTTATGAGCAGCTGAGAGGCCGCTGCAGGGCAACGCCATTAGCCATTAGCGCGGCGGCGCGGCTCGTTGGCGAATCCCCATAAACAGGGATTCAGCCAGGAACGGGGGGGGGAGAGGGGGGGGGGGCAAAAGGTGATGGTTGAAGAGGACGAGGGTGAGCGAGAGGGTCGGAGGAGGGAGGAAAAGGAAGGTCATGAGGCGGGTGAGGAGGGGAGGTGAGGGGGGGGGGGGGTATTTCCCCTTTCCGGGGTCAACGGGGGCTCCTGGTGCCCCTTTACACACACACACACACACACATTTACACTCCGACATCCCAAAAGATGTCGCTCTTTGTCTCAGCTTACACACACACACACACACACCGTCGAATGATGACTGTGTGAGGGCGTCTTGAAATATTTCTGAAGTTGTTTAAAGATCAGTTTTTAGGGATGAATTTCTCGGGTGACACGTTCTTCCTTTGCACGATGACGGCGAAGGAAGAAGGCGTCAGGTCATCCATCAAACCAAAGGTCATGATTTGTTTTTGTTTTTTTTGTAAATCACCTCCGGGGGGGAAAAGAAACATCAAATACAGCCGCAAAATTCTCAGCAGCGTCCGTGGGGATCAAAGGGGATAAAACAACCTTCAGCCATTTTCATTTAAAAATACAGGGAGCCGGCTTTGGTTTTATTAAAATCAAATCCAAAAACATTACAACCTCTCCACCCTCAACCGGGGACGCAAAGGTTGCAACATCGATGACGACAATGTCGCCAAGCCGTAGGGGGGGGGGGGGGCACCGACACTCCCTGAAGGGCCAATTAGCGCTCCGCTGCAGGAACATCGCTAAGCCGGGTCCCTCTGAACCAGAAGATTGTCACAATAATTAATAAGTCAGTCGCATCTGGGCGGCTTCAACACAACAACAACAAAAACACAACAACAAACAGAACAAGAAGAAGCGTCTGCAGGCTCCTCGATCGTTGGTGGTGCTCCCGATAGCAAAACAACAATCAGCTAAAATAAATTAAACTGTTAAAGAATCACAAATTAAGGTCCTCATAAATGGTGGTCGTTTCTACCGAGGTGGCCGCTCGCTAACAAAGTACACGGCGCGCGCCACGAATGAATGGAAACTCTGTCCTTTCCCTGCTGAGACTTTTCTGACCTCTTGACGGAGAAAACACAGGCCCGAATAACGACGCACCGCCGCACGCCAGCAGCCACCTTTGGAGCGATCTGTGGCTTCTCTTTCAGCACCTGGGCGCCTCCCTTTTCACTGTAAACTTATATATATATACTTCCTCAGTTGATTATTTTTAGCAGGCTGCAAGTAAAGCGGACTGAACCGCATGAGACATAACGCAGCGTTCAAACAGTCGCTACTTCCACACTGAGAGAACTGGTTCGGCTGCGCTCAGCCGGGGGGTCCGTGGTCCTCGGGGACGCCGCAAACCTCAAGGCAGCCTCCATTATCAATGCGTCTCCTCTTGTCTTCTTCTCTCCGTGCTTCAGATGGAGATTAATGTTAAAATATCCTCCTGCCCATAATCACTTCACAGCAGCCGTGTGTATTCTGGGCCGCTCAGGCTTGGGAAAGTGTCCCGTCGTGTGCAGCGTGAGATGAAACGACTCCATCCTCCCCCGGCTCACGGGAAATATTTACCATGTATATTCTTTCCCTGAATAGAAACTAGAAGTCATTAAGGTATATGTCCATATTTCAATCCTTTATTCATACACAACCTGCTGGTTCTACTGGAGCACTCGGGCAAAACATCGTCATATTTCCCTTGTTTCATGGCCGAGGCCTCTTAAAATGTTCAAAGTGACAAAACAGTTTTAGCTTCGGCTTAAGGAAACAAGTGCAGATGCAAGACATTTGTTTTCAGAATGTTGTGGGTGGTTTTGTGCTTTTAAATCCTGAGTCTGTGATTAACCTTGAAGGGGGCAGAAAGCTTGTTCATCAGCAGCATTTATCCCTTTTTCTACTTTGTACAGAAAAGAAGAAAGTGGCAGTTAAACAGCGTAAGTGGACAATAACACGTTCCGTCTGTCTTTCTTCTCTCATAGGTTGTCCAATTGAAGAGCTTCCTCTTGAGGCCCCCTGCTGACTGATAAGAAGCCCGAATCACTCACAGCTTCATGAGCGTGTGCACATAACCTCCGCTCCCCTGTGTGTGTGTGTGTGTGTGTGTGTGTGTGTGTGTGTGTGTGTGTGTGTGTGTGGCACCATGCTGTGGACAGTGATACTAGCGCTGCTGGTGCTTCTGCTGCTGCAGACTCAGCTGTCTGTGTGCTTAAGGGAATTACGCAGCGGGGCTTCCAGCTCCTCTTCGTCATCCTCCTCCTCCTCCTCCTCCTCCTCCTCCTCTTACAATGCCACCCAGCTGCGGCTGCCCGGAGCGATTATTATTGGCGTGCGGAAAGGCGGCACCAGAGCGCTGCTGGAGATGCTCAACCTGCACCCGGACGTGGAAGTGGCCAAGGCCGAGGTAAAAAGACCGACCAGGCCGAGAACGATAGAAGGTGCAGCAGATACGGTTACACAAATGCCTTATTTGCATATTTAGAATAAATAAATTGCAAATAAACCTTTATCAAGCGAGGGGTATTAGAGAGGGGTTTGATCATGTATCATTCACATCCTGATTTATTCAACATTTCATTCCTAAAATTGATTAAGAAAATTTAGATAAAAACAGAAATCCCAAATTCCCTCTGGGAAAACATTTGATATGTCAACAAAAAAAAGAGAGACATTGAAGATGTTAGCGCGTGATTGATAAGACAATGCATTATTTGAATCTTTAAATATACAAACGATGATTCATGAGGATAAATGTGGGCCGTCTCTCATTGAAGATTCCCCCTCATCCCCTCATCCATCCGCTCTCCTCATCTTCACCGCCTCAACCTTCTGTCCCTCCGTCAGGTGCACTACTTCAACGTGGAGGAGCACTTCCTCCGAGGCCTGGCCTGGTACCGGGCCCAGATGCCCCTCACCCTCCCCGGCCAGCTGACGGTGGAGAAGACCCCCGGCTACTTCGCCTCCCCTCAGGTCCCCGCGCGGGTCTGGGACATGAACCCGGCCGTGCGCCTGCTCCTCATCGTCCGGGACCCGGCGGAGAGGCTGGTGTCCGACTACACCCAGGTCCTCCACAACCGCCTGACCCGCCACAAGCCCTACCAGCCGCTGGACGAGCTCCTGATCAAGGAGGGCCACGTGGACCCCGGCTACAAGGCGCTGCAGCGGAGCCTCTACCACCAGCACCTGGCCCGCTGGCTGGAGGTCTTCCCCCGGGAGCAGATCCACGTGGTGGACGGCGACGCGCTCATCCGGGATCCCTTCCCCGAGCTGAGGAAGGCCGAGCGGTTCCTGGACCTCGAGCCCAGGATAAGCCCGGAGAACTTCTACTACAACACCACCAAGGGCTTCTACTGCCTCCTGTCCGCCGGGCACGACAAGTGCCTGGACGAGTCCAAGGGGCGGCCGCACGCGCCGCTCGCCCGCCGCGCCTTCAGGAAGCTCTGCCGCTACTTCAGAGGGCCCAACATGCTGTTCTTTGAGATGGTCGGGAGGTCCTTCTCCTGGTGCTGAGCCGACGACGGCGGAGGGGGAAACATTCCCCCGAAAACAAGAGAGGACGCTGTGGTTTGTGGATGAGTTTAGAGGTTGTTTTTGTCATTAGCGTCTCTCGTTGTTGATACCGACATCAGGTACTCGGGTGTAAATGTGGACACAACCGAAAAGCAGCACATACAGTTTGTGTGTCTGTGTGTGGGGGGGGGGGACCCGACACAAACCTCTGCTGATGCCTCCTCGGTGGGATGGACTCGGGGCTACGAAGGCTCGGGGAGACGCCAGGGGCCTCTGAGTGCCCATTTGTGTGGCGTTAAGAGAAGAAGATGTAGAAAAAGTGGTGAAAAGAATTCGTTTGTTGCACTAAACGCTCTGATCGCATAAAAATAAACACCAATGGAGGTTTGATGTGGACGATTTTCCAAACTGTTTGATTCCATCTGAACATTTGTAACATGTTTGTGTTTGCTAGCAGAAACATTTTAGTTGAGCCATTCTGTTTCTTCATTCTTTGACTTTTAGTGACTTTAAGATATCTTATTTTTTTACTTCTTTTGAAAGAAGCCACCTTGAAGGCTTGTTTTCTGTTTTCACTTTCAAGGCCAATGTGGTACGGTGTGTGTTTTTATCTTTTATCTTTATTTTTTATAAAGACGTCCTTCTAATAAATGTGTTCAGTCCAACGATCTCCCGTTTGGTACCACACCGCAGTGAAGCCAGCTGCAAGGTGTTAAAGGGTTTAAAAACATCGAACATAAAGGCTCTTTGAAGATGTTCGCTGTCAGGGACGATCCAACGCGTTCTTTGCGGCGACGATCAAAGGCTCCCGCGTCTGTTTTTTCATCGTCGTGTTATTCCTGTCAGGTCGTTGCCTCCAGTTCCACCACCGCGCTGTAGCGAATCCCGTCTTTGTCCGAAGCCCTGAATGGATGTCTTCAGTCGATTCGGTTCACCTGGAACCGAGTCAGACCGACGCGTCGTGACGTGGGAGCCGATCGGTTTGGACTGTGGGATTGGAGGATGGGCGCAGACTTCACCAGCGGGAACAAATCTGACGGCCACATCCGGTTCAGAAAGAGGGAAGAAGATGAAGCTTGAGTGCTTTGAACTACATTCTTTCTTAATGGCCATTTTTGTTCGTTTCATAAAATGGTTAATACGGTGTCCTGAAGCGCAAGGTGACGTTTTCAGATGTGTGGTTTTGTCTGACCTAAAGTCCAAAATCCAGAAGTTTTCAGTCCAATATTCAATGAAATTCTTACAATTTTTGAGGATCTTTGAGGATTATTGAGGACAATAATCTTGAATCTAATCTAATCTGGGATAATTTAATCAATTATCACAGTCAAGTTGAGCTTAACATCCAACACGGAGAAAGAGTTTGCAGTACGGGGTGTTTCTTAGATTTGTCATTTTAGTGCTGAACGTTGTGCAGGAGACGTCTTTCTCCATCCTTTGGTCAAACTTGTTTACAACGACTTACCTAGAAACGACTCCTTCCAGCGGTTCCTCTCCGCTGCAGAAGAGAATGTGATGGATGACCTCTGGCTGACCCCCCCCCTCCCTCCAGAGACAGAGAGAGAGAGAGAGATGTAAGAATAAACAGGAGCTTCTGCCCCTTTGAAGATGTGAGGAAGCTGCGTCTTTCATGTGCTCCCTGCTGAGGCCGGCGCTCATGAGGACGACGCTTCTCGCGTCACATCCGATCAGATAAATCTTTACGGCATGTAAAGGGGGAGGAGGGGGGGGGGAGGTGTGTGGGGGAGTTTCCAGATGCTTCATAACCAACTTTGTCTCGTGGAGTTTCTCTGCATCCACCTGCAGGTCAATAGGTCCTGTTGCTCCTATTTGATGTATTCCGGTGTTTCTGTCGCACCTCCTTGCAGCATACATAATAAAACCCAAATACCACTTATTAATGTACTCACGCTTTTAAAGTGTATGTGTTTGGTGTATTTGCTGTATAGCTGAATACTTCTGTATTACTACAGTAATTCCGGCAACGGAAGGTCTTTGTGAATGCAGGTGGCTCCCCCTGCAGGACAAATAATGAAGTGGCAGGACAGTAAAGCTTACTCATAAACATTTAATTAAATACTCCACTTCTCTAACTGGATTAATCCCTGAAATATATCGATGTAAATATCTAAATAACAATGTAGTTTTCATTACATTAACAAGCTTTTCATATTCAAGACTGCAAAATAATTCCAGTAGTTGTTTAAAGCCACGGACGACAGAACGGGTATTTATTCAAAGATAAAATAGTTAATTCCTCTGCTCAATGGACTTCTTTCCTTGAAACGGGCAATGACTCAGTCGGGACATTTCAGTTGGTGCATACATTTAGGTGGTCTGAACACATTATTAAGCACAGGTATGATCAACCAATCTCCAAATATTACCGTACCAACTATATAGTTGTGATAATGACAATAACACTGAGGAAAAAACAACCACGCAGGATCAGTGTCGCTTGATCACAGGAAATACTGGACCAGAGGTTGGAATCTCTTTATAACAACTTCTCCTTTTGAGTTTAAACAAAAAACTGTTAATACATCACTGTCCATGTGCAGTTCAAAATATTACAGTAAGTCAATGGGAGGGGAAGCACCCTCTCGCCTTTAGCAGTTGTTTCCCAATTTGCCAGCCCCCCAAACACTTGTAACTTTAAGAAAATAACCACAATACAAGTTTGTTTTTATATAAAAACGGTTTTAACAATTCTTTTTTCAGTATAAAACATTACAGAGTCCCAGGCCAATCAAACAAATTCACTTGAACAAAGTCATTTGAAATAATCATTAAATCCCCAGTCAAACGTTCTACGATAACATACAAAGGGGGGTTTTGTCGTTAAGGGGTTTTTTTTAACTTTATTTTCTAGTAATGGGAAAATATTACAACACAAATCCTAACAATCACTCTTTGCTTGCTATAATAATAATAAAAAAGAACACATGTGAACTCCTGGTCCTATCAAAGCCTAAGCCCTGAAACGTATGGTCAACATGGCATCTATGCAGTCTTCTGCTGGCCCTTCTTTCCAATGAGGGATTTGTGGATGTGGGGAATGACACCTGGAAACAAACAAAAAAACATTGGTAGGATTAAATGGTTCAGATGAGTGTATGAGGCATAGAACAATTATAATGCTCGTCTCTGTTGACTCACCTCCTCCAGCAATTGTCGCCTTGATAAGGGAGTCCAACTCCTCGTCACCGCGGATGGCCAGCTGCAAATGGCGAGGAGTGATACGCTTCACCTTCAAGTCTTTGGAGGCATTGCCCGCCAACTCTAATACCTGAGAACGTGAAAATGAACAGACGGGCATTAACGCAAACCGATCCCCCCCCACACACAGAAACACCACATGGTGTGACTTCCAGCGCCAATGTCAATAACAAATGCACACAAAATGTTCGGGGGGGCGGCTTACTTCAGCGGTGAGGTATTCAAGGATGGCTGCGCTGTACACAGCTGCCGTGGCTCCTACGCGACCGTGGCTGGTCGTGCGAGTCTTCAAGTGCCTGTGGATACGACCCACTGGGAACTGGCAGGAAACAGACATTAATAAACGGGGTTTGAACACAACAGACGGGGGATAAACGGTGCGTGTGAGGACAACATGGGCAGCTAGGCCACAGGCATTGATAGAGGAGAGAATTTACCTGCAGCCCAGCCCTCTGGGAGCGAGACACGGCCTTCGCCTTGGCTTTGCCACTGTCTTTTCCTGCTTTGCCACCAGCCTGTGGGGGGATTTTGAGCAAACAATAGGAATCAAGAGTGGGAAGTGAGACTAGCAAACGGACACAAGCGTGAGGAGGTAATGTTTGAATTTCTGGAAATTCGTCGTGCACCAGAAAAGAAAACCACATAGCACAACCGCTCACATATTCAAATAAGTGCACACGGTTGAGGCTTCATAATACGTTAAATGTGCGCACGAAGTGGTAAAACAAAGACGCTTCGAAGGGGAAACGTTACGGACGCCCGGTTGGACTGGTCCCACTTTCCCGCCAACCGCAACCCGACACAGCAGATCAGAGGCGGTTAACGAACACGGGCACCGGGTACTAAAAGGCAGTAAACCCAAACTTTACACCTACAACCGTGTTTTTAAAAAAAAAAAAGGCTGATACGATTCAACAGAGTTGATTTATGACGAAATGGCGAGAAGCGGCATGCGGGAAGGTCGCCGCGAAACGCACAACAGAATGTCGCGTCGGGACATTTATCGTTAACTTTTCGCCTGTTCGTTCCAACGGTTAAAAAGTCCCCGTGGCGGACTCGCGCGCACGCACGCACACAAGTCACACGCACGGGTCGAGCTCACTCTGGCAGTTTAAACGGCCGACTACAACACCGCCGACGTTAACCGATCCGCCGGGCTACCGGACGGGGGTTAGCTAAGCGTAGCATGCTAATCCGCCGTTGAGAGCGGCTACGCCGAATGCAGAACAATAAAAGTATTAATCAGAGTTTAGGCGTTTAATAAACCCCAAGCTAAACAGGAACCATCTGCCCCACAGCGATTAGTGTTGCATTTAACGGGGAAACGGTCCCGAACTCTGTGCTGTTGCGCGAACGGCAATGCTAACGTATTAGCTGACAGTTAGCTCTTTATCAAGCTTTTTTTTTAACCACACATTCTGGTCGAATTTCCTCAGTTCGGATGTAAAACAGCACTTTCCGCCGTGTCTCGTTAATTGCGGTACAGGTGTACCGTGGTGCCCGCAGAAATTCTTTACCTACCATTTTCCGTCGCGTTATTTGATTGTAGAACCGAGCAGATAGCACACAATTTCGGCTCCCGAAAGCAAAGAAACAATAAACCCTTTGGCAAATCTTTTGCATGCAACCCCTCGTGGGAGACTGGAGGGCCAATCAGATTGGGTTTTGCTCCTTCAAATTTCTCTTGTGACCAATCGCCTGGCGGCTTGTAGAGCATCCGCCCATCCCCCACCCCGGGATCATCGTGCCTGCTTTTGCACACGGAACCAATAAGTAGGCGGGACAGAATGAGGAGAGTGTCCTTCCAGGGGCATCCGTCCCAAAGATGCACAAAATACATAGTCTGAAGGCCGCAAATGGACGAACTCTTCTTTTAATTCAATGACACTCATAACGTTTTCAAATATACATTGTTTTATACTACCCGCTTCATAGAACTGATTTTGCCATCGACCAACGAACATATCGTTATTGTTGATGTAGATACACGTTGTACATGAGTTTAATACCAACGTAAAGCGCTATTATGAAGTGCAAGTACAGTATGTACGTGAAAGTCATCCAGGAGGAGGTCGCGTCACGTTGACAGACAGGATGGTGGGCGAATGGACGCGCGAACCTCCAAGCTGATTGATGTGACTGACAGCTGTAGTGGCCAATCGGAGCCCGCGCAGCCGTCCGTCCGGTATCCACAGCGAGCTCGGCAGGCGAAGGGGGGGGGGGCTGTTGTGGTGGGGGTCAAAGATACGCAGAGAAACGGGCTGCTGGTGGCGAAGATGGCGGATGGGGACAGTGGCAGCGAGCGCGGCGGAGGCAGCAGCGGCGGCGGCGGCGGAGGGGGCGGCGGAGGCGGCGGATTCCAGCATTACCAGCGGGACGCGGAGACCCAGGAGCTGGCGTCGAAGCGGCTGGACATTCAGAACAAACGCTTCTACCTCGACGTGAAGCAGAACGCCAAAGGCCGGTTCATCAAAATCGCCGAGGTCGGGGCCGGCGGCTCGAAGAGCCGGCTGACCCTCTCCATGTCCGTCGCGGCAGAGTTCCGCGACTACCTCGGGGATTTCATAGAGCACTACGCCCAGCTCGGGCCTAGCACCCCGGAGCAGATCGCCCAATCGTCCGGCGGGGATGACACCGGGCCTAGGCGGGCCTTGAAGAGCGAGTTCCTGGTGCGCGAGAACCGAAAATACTACCTCGACCTGAAGGAGAACCAGCGGGGCCGCTTCCTCCGCATCAGGCAGACCGTTAACCGAGGCCCCGGCTTCGGTGTCGGAGCGGGCGGCATCCCGGGGTCTGGCCTGCAGGCCGGGCAAACCATCGCGCTGCCGGCCCAGGGCTTGATAGAGTTCCGCGACGCCCTGGCCAAGTTGATAGACGACTACGGGGGAGACGAGGAGGAGCTGGCCGGCGGCGGAGGGCCCGGCGGGTACAGCGAGCTGCCGGAGGGCACCTCGATCATGGTGGACTCGAAGCGGTTCTTCTTCGACGTCGGGTCCAACAAGTACGGAGTTTTCTTACGGGTGAGCGAGGTGAAGCCCAGTTACAGGAACTCTATAACCATCCCCTTCAAGGCCTGGGGCAAGTTCGGGGGGGCGTTCAGCCGCTACGCCGAGGAAATGAAAGAGATCCAGGAGAGGCACCGGGATAAGATGTACGAGAGGAGAGCCGGCGAGGAGTCGGAGGGGGACGACGTGGACGACGATTGACGGCCGGGGGAGGCGGAGAGAGGGATGCCGACCCACCCGATGCGAAGCCTGGCGATAACCTGAGAGAGAGGAACGACTATTCTGTGCATGACGAATCGAACTTTAAAATGCTAGAACAACGGAGGCAAATTGAAGAAAAAAAAAATGCAAAGAAATATATACGTATATATGACTGAGAAAACGCTGTCTATACAAGAGAATCCTGTCCTAAAGTTTAGGTGGATGTTTTAGCTAAATGAGTGCGGACTGCAGTAGTCAGCTCCCATATGAGGCCCCCCAATGATAAATAAATCTATATATATATATATATAAACTAAATAGACCTACATCTATATAGAAGTATATACATTGATTTTCTATCTGATAACCTCACATGTATAGTTCGCCCAGCCAATTAAGTTTGACAGCGCTCAAGGTACCCCAATAGTTTACCGGACCCACTTCCTGGGTGACATCCGTAGGTAGGAGGTCACCTGGTGGAGCTCACCTGGTGCTGACCCGCTGTCTGCTCGACGTGTGGGCTGTGTGTGTGTGTGTGTGTGTGTGTTTTAGTCTAAACTGAGGTGTACGGAGCAGCTTTCCCGGGGAGAACCCCCATCCCCTCCCCGCCGAGCCGCCGTCTCATCTATTGGGCTCCTCCGACATTCACTCGGCCCAGGCGAGGTCGCCGTACGGTTACCTGTTACAAGCACACGGCTCGTTCGGAGCCTTAATGACCTCTGCCCCCTCCCCCGTTGCCCCCTCCCTCCGGTGCTAGCCTCCTGCTCCGACAGATGAAACGTGGCGCGTTTAGTCTCTGTATTTGGCGGTATAGTCGGCGCTACCGGCGCCTGCACATCACCCTAAGGAGGTTCCGGGTGCAGACGTGGTTGGCCACGTTTGACCCCTGTGACCTCTTGGTCATCCGGGTCGCGGTGAGCTAAGGGCCTCTGGCAGTGGTCATGATTTTTCAAGCAAAAGCTCAATAACTAAGGTGCGCCATTCGGATCCTTTTCAACCTTGAACTCGGACCATCGATGACTGAAGGATATTCAGTCTGATTGTAAGAAAAAATTGGTCCTCTTGAAAAACAAATCAACTGTGGGGTGCTGAAGAAAAACATATATATATACTGGAAGAGATTTACCTTTCCTAAAAGGTCAAGTATAGATTATTTTTCAAAAGAGATATATTGAAATATGTGTCCGAAACGTAAGACATTTATCAGATAACGCTGCCTAAAGTGGCTTATTTAAAACACTAAACTTGGATGCAACTGTCCAGGGTGATATTTCCTACCTGCTTTTTTTCCTAAAGTTTCTTTTATTCCTTAGAGGAAATTAAGACGAGTACAAATTGATAACAAAGTATGTTATAGCAATTTCTATAGACTTCATTGAAGCAGTCTGTCGTTAACACTCCAGTTCACTTTACAGCGTCGAGTTGCCCCCTCGCTTCAGTCCACCACGTTTTACTCACACGGCTTTCCGTCGGTTGCCATACGACACGAACATAGACACCTGCAATCATCCACGTTTTGTCTTTAGCGCTCCTTTTAAAAAAAAAAAAAAAAGAAAAGCTATACTTTTTATTGTTTTGCATGCGTGCTCTTACGCGGAGCTGCCTTGTGTTTTTCTTTTGCGTATTCTGTGTGCTGTACGATGGTATTTATCCTTTTTTTTTTTTTTTTTAAAGCGGTTTCAAGTTTTATTTCTTGCGATGTCGAGACGTTAACGTTTACTTCCCAGCCCGATAATACACATTAAAAAAAAAAGCCAGAAAGTTCCCAAACTCTGGGAACACGTCACTGTCATTGTCCCGCTTCCTGCGGTGGGTAAACCTCTCGCTGAACTTTGCCCACTTCAACGCAGCAGATTAACGCCATATGAAAAAAACAAACATGGGAGCAATAGTTCTTTTTTTTTCCTTCTTTTATATTCATATAAATATACTATATATAATACTACACATGAGATTGAACTACATCCTTCTTCCTGTACTGTGTTACGTGAAATGGCAGCTGTTTCAGTCATGTGTGTTCTGCTGTAATATTCTACCAAGTTCCTTTCGACGAGAAATAAAAAAGGTTTTTGCTCAGGAGAGGTGTGGTCTTTTTGTCACTTTACACCCAGCTGTTTCTCAACTAATTGACACATTGAAGAGAAACAAAAGGTTTCAAAGAGATAACTCTTTTATTAAGAAACTGTCCTAAACACATTTTATTTACAATCAGAATGGAAGTAAAATCCAGCCGATATTTTGTGTGCTGTCCACCGCTGGCAAGTAAAAACAGAAAAGTAGTCCCATTCAAGTCCTTTGAGCAGAAGCTTTGTTCATGAAACCGGTCCAAGATCACGAGTGATTTAGTGTTTCCTTTCAGACTTTGACACGACTTGTTGCACAGACAGTTTACGCAGGCACATTGTTTTCAGTGCTTTTCACGCCACTGACTCTAAAAGCAGAGTGTGTGTGTCAAAGAGAACAAAGACGTCTGCCTGAAACAGGGAACGTCAAACGCGTCCTGCATTATATAATATTGACATCTTGACCTTCCCTCATAATGGGTGCTTAACTTTTGTAACTTTAAGTATATATACATCAAATAAATGATATAAGAACACTTCCTCAAGCCACATGAAGCGCGTGAGGCTGCACGCGGCTCTTTCTGTGGAAGCGACTAGGGGTCGCTGTAACCTTGGGGGTTGGACGGGACGCACTCGGCTGCGTGGAGGCCTGCGGGGTGCAGGTCAGGTCAAAGGTTGATCGTCGGGGGAACCGGAAGTCACCCGGCGCGCTGCACTCAAAAAAAACAGGAAGGGTGGTTCCAAGGAAAGACTCGAGAGGTCCTACATTTCATTGCAAAAGCATTCACCCGACACGTCGGGCTGCATTTTTTTTGAATGTGCACATCTTCACATTGAAATCCAACCTACGGGAATTCAAAGTGTATGTATGGTGTTGAATAAAATTAGATGACATGTGGTTTGTCCCTGCTAGCGACCCGACAACTGCATCAGCTTTGGATTCTAAAGCGACAGCTGTCCTCTTGGCAACATCTGCATCAGAGGTGTTCTTCTGTTCATCCAACGGGTAAATATCTGTGCATTGCAACTACATCGTGGGTTATTTGCTTCATAATAAGGTAAACTTTAATGAGGGCGAGGGAATGAGGGCAGCAGGGGGCGGCTTCATCTATGTCCAGGTTCAATTATTCCTCATAATAATGCTAACTTACACTGCTCAGCTCCACGGGTGTATCTCCTCCTCGGGGTCAACTGCTGGTGATGCAGCTTGTTACTTCCCACTTACATAGAGACACATGACAGCTGAGGGAAATGCGGATCTGGTGAAACACTGGCCATTGTGCAAATGGAATCCCATCGGACACCAAGAGGCGGTTTCACAATTCAGCATTCCACAGCCGGCGCCAAAATGTGCATGCCGGGAAATTTGTCCAAACCGATTTAAAAAACATCTTGGTCGTGAACCTCGAGCGGCGGCCACCAGCCACAGGCCAAAGGCCGACGTGCCGGTCGAGCTGGGAAGAAACGGACCCCTGATCCAACACCTCATCGGACGCCAAATCCTCTGTTTATCCGCCTTGCGGTACTTCAACGCCGGTGCAGGATCCAAGTGTGCAGGACACCCGAGATGAACACATTCGCACAGTTCACAGTCTATTCTTTCATTAATCCAGGCCTTTAAAACTCTGAAAGGAGGGAGAATCATTCGCAGCTCAGCCTTCACTTCGGCGTCGTCGGCGGTTTCAGTCAAACACACACAAGATGCATCGTGACCTGCCGCTTGACCTGCAGAGGGTTTTGCAGAATCATTGTTCGTCATCGACTTCCAAATAGGTTCCGCACAAGCTGATGCAATGCAAGGGTGGAAAGGGACCCACGCCGCAGAAAGTTAACGCACAACAAGCCTTTCTGAGATGCGTTACGTGATTCCGTGAGCGCTTGTTTGTGTGTTGATGCACGTATAAGCATCGGGAGGAGTGATGAGTAGGGCTGGGCCGGGTTGGGGTTCGCGTAACACTCACTCATCATGTCCCGGCGGGGGCCGTCACGCTGGCAAACAGAGCAAAAAGACAAGAACAGATTAGGTTGAAGACGGCAAAGCTGAGGCCTGGAGAAGGTCTGGGGAGGAGGCAGGAGAGGAAAGTGTGAGGTAATCGAGGAGGAGATCTGGACCGCCGAGGGGGTGTTTGTCGGGAAGACGAGGGGGTCGTCTTCCCGACAAACACGTCCCTCGGCGGTGAACGAGGGGGTGTTTGTCGCGAAGATGAGGGGGTCGTCTTCCTGACAAACACCCCCTCGGCGGTGGAACGAGGGGCTTCTGAGCAGTTTTTAGTCCCGTGTTGCCATGTATGACCATGGGAAACCATGTTTACTACGCCGGTGGTTTTAATCGTCAACGCCGGCTGGGAAAGAAAGATCAGGACTGAACAGCTGGGATCAAAACACACACATGCAAAGGAGATCATGTACCGTCCCCGATAATCACACTGCGATCGTACGTGACGCATCTATTCACCAAGCTGGGAATATGTCCTCCTCCGCGTCATCAAAATAATAATCATCCTCGTTTACTGTACGCGACTTACATTCTGCAAGCACACTACCATCTTATAATTCCGCCGCAGAGGCAATACCACGTCTACGCCACATGTGAGCAGCACAGATCAGCGCAGCAGCGTCCCGGCACCCGTCCAGCTCGGCCTGCAAGACGGAGAGCGGCTGCTGATGTGAGGCCTCTGAGGGCCCCGGGGCGCATATGGCGGCGACGGCGAGCCGTCAAGAAAGAACTCCCTCGTTTCGCAAAGAACATTTAAGGCTGTCTGCAAAGTGTTAAACAAGCCTTTGTTTTCCACTTATATGTCGGTCTGAGGAGCTTCCTTTTTTTTTATTGTGGTTAAAACAACTTGGTGGGGAAGGACTCGTGGTCACGCTTTAATAAAAAAGACTTCTGGCGGGAAACATGAAACAAACATCTGTCTCCCGCTAATTAAGTTGCGCTGGCTCCTCGTAAACCTCTCAGAGAGCTGGAGGACTGACCCCCAACGCTGCAGTGATCCATGAAATGTGATTTTCATTGCGAAAACGCTCATTGTGAGCGTGTTAGCATTTAGCTCGGGGCAGTATAAGCTGTTTAGGATGTGCACGTTCAGATTGAAGCGGGTTAAACTGCAGTCATCGGCAACTGAGTTGGATTAGTTTGCCGCTAAAGCTTTTAAGGACTTTGGACATTTCTGGCAGCTACAAGACTTCGGCCTTGATTGACGCTTAAAAGCATGCATCGTTTCTTAGTGAGCGCAGGGATATCACTTTTTTTTTTAAAAAGGTGCACAGTCTACATTACGAAGAGATGAGATGGCAGTGCGGCAGCATGAATTGAACTTTGACCAAATATTGTGTCCAAAGTCTGTATTTTCAGCAAAAGCCCTGTGTGCTGTTCACTACATTCCCCGAGAGCAGTACTTCTTAACGCCCAGCGCTGAGCAAATGAATGCAAGAGAACGGATATTACAAGTCAACGCTCCAACATCTTTGTTGTGGTGATGTAACATCCAGTTATCGATTGATGTGACTCAAATCCGACTGAGATGAATTTCTCACTACCTTTTACAACCCTTGTCCTAATCTTTATCCAGCTTCTACTCAGTTCCTCCGGCGCATAACGCCCTTCATTCAAAATCCAGAAATGCTGTAAATGTTTGCCTACCTCCTTTGAAACACACACACACACACACACACACACACACACCAGCAGCCATGCCCTCTAGGAATGTTTAATATGCTGTAAACAAACTGTGGGGCCTCCAGATGAAGTAAGAGGACACTGTCCTTCACTCGTACTGCCCCTCAGAAGAAAACACTTTCATGACAATCTCCAGCGGCAGATGTAAAACATCTGGTTGCTCATCTGTCAACCGCTGCCCGATGTTGGACAGCTTGTATGCAGTGGGGGGGGAGGGCAGACGTATCCTCAGCTGTCCTTCACTTGGGCCGAGTCGCTGCCGTCTCACCAGCCGAGTCAAAGAACCCATCAATCAAATCAGTTATCTTGTGTTCTGGCCATGACAGGAATGTCTTTTATTTCCTGTTTCATGTTAGGCTTCGGCTAATGCTAGCATGAAATGTGACATTTACTGTGGTTGTATTGTACGTTTTGAGAATCACCTCGGATAGAGCGGTGCAGGAAGGAGTTCTAAAACTCCGGTCTGAGTTTGCTAAATGCCCGAAATAAGTTCTGTGGTTAAAACCTGTTTTCAAAAGGCAGATTTTTATCCGTGGGGTATTTTCACCGTGTAGAACAAATACAAACATCAGTCAAGTCGCTTTGCAGATTGAAATAAATAAAATGGCTTGTTAATTACAAAAGAGGATCCCATCTGAACATGGGGGGCCTCTGCGTCCCCCGTCCTGTTTCCGTTCCAACGTTTCGTTTGTGTGATTTCCATCTAAGGAATTTGATTTCGGTGTCAAACTAATGCAGCGAGGGCGAGGCCACCAGCCGCAGGAGGCGTTGAGGTGTGGCGCTCTGGCATTCACACACGCCACCGTGTAGAACTGGATCATTCTGAGGGAGGAATAGACATTTAATAACTATGAATGCATGAGTGTCACATCCCATGTTTAATAAAACACTCCCTGTTCTTCCCATCATAGCGTGTTCGATCACCACAATCTAATCAGTCCCCACCCAACACGACGCCTTTAAAACTTTGGATTGTGTTGTCACTGATTTACTTTTAGCTCTGTCATAACATCACGCCCGGGACGGTTTCCTGTTCAACGTTTTTACTGTGAAGCGCAACATAACCTTTCAAGTAAATCTGTATCTATAATCTGTAAACGTCACTCAAACTCTACATGAACCCACCCCCAAAAAAAATAAACATCATGAATCACGACGGATGCAACGTGTTCTTGGAGGCAAACAAAGGCAAAAGGTGTTGAGAAATGTCTTCCGACGCCTTTGTTCAACACGCAGTAAAAATGCTGCCAAAGAGCCGGGCGGATGCGTTTGTTGTTTGATGAGGTGCAACTGAAACAGTGCTGTCACCTCTTCAAAGACTAAACGACAAAACCTCC